ACCTGGTCTGGAATACTGTTCGTTTTTATTTAGCCTCATGCGTGCTACTGAGCGGAAGAAAATACAATCCGTTCAACACTTTTTTACCGAGAGATTTTTAACCCCAGAACACCGACATTTGTCTTACCAAGAACGTTGCCGGCTTACAGGCCTCGATCCTTTATGGTTCAGTAGATTACAAAAGGGACTATTTTTGCTATTAAAACTCTTATATAATCACACATTAAACCCACTCACCTCATTAAGACATCATATCCACCCACGACGTAACAGTCACCGTGAGGTCTTCTTATTTCTGCCTCTGGCACGTACTGTTAAATATCGTCGGTTCTTTTCTGTAAATGCAATTGCTATTTGGAATAAACTACCCATGAGTGTGAAAACTCTGCAAAATTATCATTTATTTAAGAGAAATATTACTCGATTTTTGCATTCAGAAAAGCTCCCACAAATTTTGAGTGCTGAATCTACTGATCGACTGTACCGTAGCGATGGCGTTTGTGGTCTCTGAACACTATGGCCGGTCTCACCAGCTGTTCCTCAACGCCTCTACTTTGACTATCCCCAACTTCATGAAGGAATTTGACGTCCAATAATCTCCGATACCGTGCAACCTCCCCCCTTCTTGACGGTCGATATTCTACCACCGCCGACAGTTTTTTTTCTCCTGAGCCCTCCAAACCACAAAAACCACCATCACCTATATTTTTATGCCTTAAGCTCAGGAGTTTTTTTTTCACTGCTGGACGGATTTGTGTTTAATCGCTTCCCTTGACAATGCCTGTAAACTGGCATTTAATTTAATTTAATTTAATTTAAGATTTACAATACTATTTTTAACCCCACACGTGTGAGGAGTGGAGTCATTCAGGGTAGTGTACTCAGCCCACTTCTATTTTGACTTTTCGTTAATGATGTACCCGATTTATTTCAGAATGGAAAGCCTTTCATGAATAAATAAATAAATTAATAAACAATTTTTTTATTAAAGACCCGTCTGGGTCCCATCAAAGCAAGTTAAAATAAATCTACATGCGAGTTTTAGACGAGGTAGGCCGAATCTTTACAAAATGCAATTCATAGTTTCTGAATTATTAGTCCATTGAGAAACATGATGATTGAGGGGGGAAAAAAACTCCTTAAATAAAGTTAAATGATTGGATTAATTTTACAGGAGAAAAAGAAAAACCCCTCAATAAAAATAAAGACAGATAGAAGCGAGCAGGACTGGCCTGTAGGTGGTGATATATAACGGAATGTTGTCGGTCATCGACAGGGTAGCAATAAATCTCAGCCTTGTGGGGTACGAATGTGGGTCAGATAGGACTGGCTTGCATATGGCATTGTATACGGGATTCACAATTGAGTTCGTCTGGGTCGGATTGATTCGCCGCGTCAAAGAGGCCAGACGAGAGGAACCCAGATGCGATCGGCCACAGCAAGCTTCCAGCTCAGCCGAGCAGTGGAGAAGCGAGGTACGACCAAACTACTAGTAGACGGTGAATACCGAGGGTTTCGCCGCGAGGATCGACCGACCGCATGAGGTCGGAATGCGGGAGATGACATCAAGAATCGCGAAAATCGCGAAAATCCTCGCTATGGTGGAGGAGGGATAGCAGTGGATTTAGAAAACAATTCAAAACAAGGCTTCTAATGATATAATTGATGGTTTCCACTCGATCTATCACTAATTCTTAGGAGACCCTTCTCGGAGTTGAGAAGCGGAGTGTTCGGGAATGAGACCGTTATCAGTGCCTTTATGCTTTCCGGTGTAAGATGTTTGCGCAATTTCGACTTGAATACCAGTAACTTAGGCGATAATCTAATTTCAGGCGGAA